ACAAAGTTGTAGAGCCTTAGTTGAAGATCATTTCATACCTACAACATTTTCTTCCAGCTCTTCAAGATTGTTTGATATCAGAAGTGAAAGTTGAAAAATCGAAGCATTGGAAACTGTATGAACAAAATTTTGAGATTCGGTATATATCTAACCTTGTTGTGAGTAGGTTTTGCATGATTTTTAAAATGCTTCATCGAGTTTATCTATGAACCGACAAAATTATCGTGGAAATTACGAGAAAAAAAAATTAAAGAAATAAATTTTTTTTTTAAACTTTCAAATTCAAAGACTTTGAATAAGTGTAATATAATCTACATCGATCAAAAACGAAAAATAATTGAAGCAATTAGTGGCTCAAAGTTTAAATTATACAAAATTGGCTTCTTTGATTTTTCAACTTTGGCAACTTGTAGCAAGAAAATGAGAGAGAAATGATCTTCAACTAAGGCTCTACAACTTTCTATTTATACACTTATAACTTTGCATTGCTACAAGAAAATGAGAGAGAAATGATCTTCAACTAAGGCTCTACAACTTTCCATTTATACACTTATAACTTTGCATTGCTACAAGCCCTCCAAGGTGGAAAAATGAAGGAAACCAATTTTGTATGATTTAAACTTTGAGCCACTGTATATTCGCACCGGGTTATAGAAGATTTTCGTTCAACAATCAAGTTTACATAGCGTAAATAATAGCATTAGTAATAGATTATCTTCAGTTGAAATGAATATTCAAGATATTATAATTGTCATCGTTTTCATATAATAATTTACATGCTAAACTATTTACGATTTAATCACGCTCGTCAATCACAAATCCTGTCATAAATTTTGTTTGTTTTGCTGTTTGTTGATTTAGCATTAAAAGAAGAAAAAAGAAAACGAAAATCATACTTTATTCTAACAAGCGATCGTCTATTATAGGGGAATATAGATAACATTGGATATATTTTTTTCCAATATCTCAACACGTAATGAGTGTCTTGGTATGAAAAAATCTACAATGTTACATTCTGCAAACACAAATTTATGCAAAAATATTAAAAACGTTTCGCTTCATGATGGTTTTTGTCCTTAAAAACAGTCCTTTGTGGTTCTAATTTTGGATGCTATCGTGAAACATGTTATGCTCTTATTTTTAGTTTTGAACAAAATCTTTCCCAAATATTTTTATTCTTCGCAAATCATACATATGATCTGCCGTTTACGTTCTTTTTTTCAAGATTATATATGTGAATATGACACAGGAAAGGTGAGATGAGATAATGTCAAAATAATAGGAAAATATTTATCTAAAAAAAATTTTGTCTAAGAAAAACTTCACATGGTTACACAAAGTCAAATCCCAAGTGACATCGGTTCGCTGTTATTAAGCTCAACATAAACCATGAATATATTTTTTCAATTCAACTTGTTTCAACTTGACTCGTACCCTTCACAACATTTGCTTGTTTGATTTTATGTGTTTGACGAGAATTAAAAGAAAAAAATAAAGATACATACAAGTTCATATGTATGTATTCTTGATAAGACACGTCATGGAATGATGGAAAGAACACGCGATACTTCGAATGGGAATCCTGTTTTATCTCATGAATCCGTTGAAAGTATATACTTCTTTGGGAAATATGTACTTTTCCTAA